GGGTGTGCGGTTCCGGATTGTGTCGAGGTCGGTACCCAAGCCCGCGGCCTCGTCGAGATAGTACGGCACGCAGGTGGCATTGAGGACGGCGAGAGAGGCGGTGTAGAGGGGGTATTGGGGGATGGGGACGAGGACGCCCGTCTTGGGGCTGGCGCAGATGACGTTGAGCAGAGTGTTGACGCCCGAGGATGCGCCGCCAGAGAGGTAGATCTTGGAGGGGTCGGCAGGGAAGCCATCGCGACCTAGAGAAGGATTGTTAAAACGAAATGTTGCTGTTGGCAGGGCACAGAGAGGGTTCGGTTGAAGGGTTCGGTTGTGACTCACGCTCAATGAACTTGGCGATGCTCTCCTTGATCGCAGGCACGCCGGCACTGGCACTGTAGGCGCCCACAGAGCCGACCTTGCTCAGCAACCACTCGGCACGCTCAATGACGTCGGTCTTGTAGCCCAGCTGGTTCGTGAGAACGTCCTTGTGCTCGAGCAGCAGGGGGTTCTCCATGAGACTCAGGACCTGTCGGAAGAAGGTGATGGGCTTCTGGTCGAGCTGCTGCGGGTTGCCAATGTTGGCGGAGATAACCTGGTCAAAAGGAAGGTCCTTGTCGCCCTTGGCGAGCTTCGCTCGGTATTCCTCGGACTTGACGGCAAGCTCGCCGCGGACAGCATACTGTGCGGCGACGACATTGGGGTTGATGTTTTGCGCGTTCAGGCGCGGGCCGGGCTTTGTGGACATGATGCGTCGCTGCTGTCGGAAAGGTTGCTGCTGCTTGCTGTAACTGTGACTCTCGAACGGAAGCGTCGAGAGAGGTTGGTGGTGGTGAGCTCGGCGTGGCGGGGCAAGCTGTGTTGAAGATCGCGGGGTATCTAGAGAGCGTCGCAAATTCAAGTTAACGGGCTGACTCGAACAGACCGCCTGCGGATCCGCTTTATTTGTATGCTAGGAGAGCAGAGACGGAGCACTTCGTAGGTAATAGTGGAGGTGAATCGGAAACGTATGGCCACACTAATGGCTGTTACGTTGCTGAGACGGGTGAATCAGGGTGCAAGAAAGCCTTCCCGGCATAGCAAAGTCGAAGTGCAATCATCGAGGATGGGGGACGACGTGGCGGACAGCATGGGTTTTTGAGGGGGCATGGGGAATCTTTGTCAGGAACAAGCTTCACTTAGGACTCTAGACAAGGTCCAACCAAGCCATGACACTCGACCGTGGGCAACGTGAACAGCAAACATGTCACCCACGAAACCGACGGGGCGGGTGTGGGCGGGATGATCAGCGCACTATTCCCGTCGTGTCGTCTGATGACCCGTTCTCCCACAGCACCTGAAGCACTGCACCTGATGCAAGTAGGCAACAATGTTGGCAGTCAGGTAGAAAGCCTGGTCATGGCAAGACACGGCCCTGTTGGGCTTGGGACGCGGGACGACACTGTCACGCTGATCGCGTTCTGCTCGTCATGATCAGGTAGTCAGTCCCGAGTTCCCCAGCTGTAGTG